TAAATAAATATCTTGACAAAAAGCCTGTTAAGCCATGATGATGATGATGATGATGATGATGATGATGATGATGATGATCTTCTCTTCAAATCTCAAAACTAGGTAACCTTGAACGAATTATTTTCGAAGCATAAAAATGTTCAATCGATTTCAATGACATTTAACCATCCTTTGAACTTCAGATTACATTCAAATGACTTTAATACATAATACCTCCGACTTTTAAGATTTATTCAACTATCTTTTACAAAACACATTTCAAACAAAATTAATTAAGGTTAAAAGCAACTTCATCTATTACGTACCGGTACTCGTTACGTTAACGAACGTTTTCGCGGAAAAAAGTGGGGGACGAAGAGAGGAAAAGTAAACCACAAATATCCGCCAAGTACAGAGAAGGATAATGAAAGGCGAGAAACAGAAAGACGACGGAAAGGAAGAAAAGAGAATAAAAGAGAGTAACTGAATTCATTTGGTATCAATAAGTGTAGTTTTCAACGCGCCTTTGCAACAACGCCCACATCTCCCAAGGCACATTCTAAGATAATCTCACCACTGAAGTTGAGTAATTACAGTGTGGACCACAACAGAACACCCACCAGCCACCTACTACTTCGTTATGAAGTTACAACATTATCGACTTGGACATGTTACATAAGCACCGATGAGCAATGGGGCTGAACAGACACGATAAAACCAGAAACAAATCACACCAGAGACGCTAATAACGTTACAGGGAAAGACAGCGAACGAAGAAAAGGAAGGTAGAAAGAGAAAGAGAGACAGACCCCGCCGCGCGTTCGTTGACACTAAAGTGTCGCAGCGTGGGGCAATCAGGCGCTCGTCAAAATTCTGAAATCGAAGAAGCCAACAGCATTATGTGTTAGCCAATAACTTTTGTTATTTCCAGCTCAACACCTTTTATATCCATTTTAATACAAATTTCTGTGTGGATTTTATTGAAAGACCTTAATGAAAGGCATGAAATGTAGATTTGCAGTTTCCACAGGCACTCAAGCTTTGGAAGTCATCAAACTTCGGCGGTCACTTTTTAGCCAATCGTGACCTCTAACACCACATCCTTCAATCTCAAATATCTCAACTTCGATTCAAGAAAGCTAGTGGGTTGTTAATTTTTTTCCATCAAAAGCGAGGCAAATGAACAAGATATAAGATCCATACCAATGACCCCAGTAGCCCAAAATTTGACGAGCGTCTGATTCCACCGCGTCGTTGCCACTAAATGAGCATGTTGATCCACTTTGAACGTGAGCAGTGACCTTGGCAGACGGAGGGACCCGCCTCCCCTGGAGTAGGAGATAGGGGGGTCGCTCTTACAAAGCTTATAGTACGCAGTTCTTTAAACATTGCTGCTAATTTTTATTTTTTTAAACATACAAAAACCCTAAAACATAGACTCTGTCAACATTTCAAAACCAAAAAAAAAATAATTTTAAA